ATGTATGTATGATACAATCAGGACACAAAAGTTAAAGCAAAGGACTTGTTGCTTCTTGCACTGCAATTTTATTTTTTATTTATTATAGACTGACTGAGTGCAGTAACAATGTACGTATACTTGCTCTGAGCAGCAACTGTCAGTAGCTTTACTAATATCTTTTGGAAAGGATACCAGTTCTGATGCTCTTACTATACATTTTTCTCATCAGAGTCATAGTAATTGAATACGAGTTAATTTATATTCTATATTCTAATAATAATTAATTAAAACAAATATAATTATAATATTAAAGAAATTATTTAATAAAAATCGGACAAAAAGTTTATCATTAAACAATCAAATAATTTAATTTTCTGAAAAAAATAAATCAATAATAAAAAATAACATTAAAATTAATAATGTACAAAAATTGTATTTAAAACAATGTAAGCTTTCACAAAACTAAAATAATTAAATAAAAATAAAATAAATATAATATTTATATAAATTATTATCAAAATAGCACAAAAACTAAATGAAAGAAAAATAATAAGTTAAATGCCCACACAAAATTAAAATAAACAAAAATAAAATACCAAAAAAATTAAAAAAAAAAATAAAAAAGCAACCATGAAATAAAATAAATATAAAATATTAAAGTTTTCACAAAAACAAAATGAAATAAAATAAAAAAAATTAAATGATTGGTTTTCACAAAAAAAAATTTAAATAAAAAATTTAAGAAGCAATTCTACAATAAAATATATATTAAATAATTAAGTTTTCATAAAAAATGAGTTTAAATTAAAAAATTAAATGATTGGTTTTCACAGATAAAAAAAATTAAATAAAAAAATTAAAAAGCAACCCTGCAACAAATAAATATAAAATATTTAAGTTTTCACGAAAAAGAAATGAAATTAAATCATAAAAAATCAAATGATTGTTTTTCACAAAAAAAATAAAAAACTTTTAAATTGAATATAAATATAAAAACATAAAACTAAAATTGTAAAGATAATCTAAATTAAAATAAAACAAAAGATTTGAATAAAAATAATTCTATGAAATAAATATAAAAACAATCAAAATAAATGAAATAAAAATAAAACAAAAATTAATATAAAATAAAATAAACGAAACAAAATATAATAAAATGAAATGAAATAAATTTTTTTTTCAAATAAAAAAAAAGTGAAAACAAATAAAATAAACTTAAATAAAATGAAAATAAAATACAATTAAAATAAAATAAGTATAAAATTAAAGCAAAATATAAAAATTTTACATTAAAATAAAATAATTTAATTAAAATAAAGTGAACCAAAGTAAAACGAAATAATTTAAATAAAAAACAAAATGAAATAAAATAAATGAAAATCAATTAAAGCTAAGTAAAATTAAAATTAAAATAAAATAGAAATAAAATTAAATAAATTTATTTTTTATAATATAATTTAATATTTCAGACAAAATTAAATAAATAAAAAATAGAGTAAAAAAATATGAAATTAAAGGCAAATAAGAAATAAATTCTAAGAAAAAATAGTGAAATTATAAAAAAGAGGTTTACCAAAAGTATATAAATCCGTATTTAAAATTTAAATTTCAATAAAAAAAATCTAATGACAAATGTACATCTGACAACTTGCTATTCTATAAAAATTAAACGTTTTGTGCTTTTTAAGATCGTCTTCATGTCAGCAATTAAAGCTAAGGGGACTAGTTGGGCGGAACGAGCGAAATGGGTAGAGCCGAGTGTTGCGAACGAGTCAGGATACGGTGCGAATGGACCATGAGTTCGTGCTTAAAATTTAACAAAAAATTATATTATATTATATTTCTCTGAGCGAACTCCTCAGCATGCAGCGGCAAACTACTATGAACTTGTTGGCTGGTATGTGGAATATTTACGTCACTATGTCAACTATGTTCAAAGGAATTTTAAAATACAAATAGGCTCACTGCAAACAATATGACTTCCCAATTTACATGCATATTGCGGAAAATCTGTGAGGCAGACGCCACTTTTGATGCTTACAAATCCATCTTCTCTCGGATGGTTGTTGTCAATTTTATTTAAACAGAGATAAATTTGACTACTGAAAATGACATGTGTGTGGGTGTATTTACATACATATACATGTATATACATAATACATATATGAAGAAAAGTATATAAAAATGTCTATAAATCTAAGAATATATGTTTATATAAATATCTGCTCGCCAATTTTTCTTTTAATATCCATGACTAAGACGAGAAAAAATTTTGCGAATAAATAAAATGCCCCATCTCGTTAGTACGGGCTTACATACGTGTAAAGCATGTATGTACATACATACGTGCATTTTGTAAATATACACAAGGAAGAATGAAATCATGTCAATAACAGTCAAAATTTGGTTTGAAATGTCGTAAATAAACGAACAACAACAAGCGAGTGAGTAATTATTAGGTCAATATTAAGCCAGTTGGGAGTTGGGAGTAGCTCACTGTAAAGAGCGAGCAAAAAAATGTTGCCCAAAATCCGGCCGTTAGCAGGATTTTCTTTATTTGTTGCATTTATGTATTGTAATTGTATGTGTGTCCGACATTGACCGAAAGTTGGGTAATTTTTGTAAGTCAGTGTATACATATGTATGTAGAAAACTGTAGTGAACTGTTAGTTTTACTTTGAGTTTTGCTGGATATTCCTTTTCCCATGTGAAAAAGTTCATATACTCGTATATCTGTTTTTACAATAACTATATGCGTTTGTGTGCTTGTTTTATTGTAGATTTAAAGGTGGCGAACGTTTTGAATAAGACTCTGACGGCTGGTATATTCGCATCTTTTACTGTTATACCGCTTACATGCATACATATGCGCAAGTACATACATTGCTGTATACAAAAATCAGTTCTAGAAACAACGAGTTGTGCAGGTGAAGGCATTTATATACATACCCTTGCATATACATACATATACAATATATGTACAAATTATAAATTAAATGCAAACAATTCTAACGAATAAATATATAACTGAATCTACATATGTATACATATATTTGTATATAAAAACATTTCTACGAGAATATTCTCATCTCTTTGTTACATACATGTTTGTATGTATGTACATATGTATATGCACATTTTACATAAAGAAAAAACAAGGAATTGCATTTATACGCTACAAATGTGAGTCTGGTATAGAAGTAAATATCTAGAATTTCATGAGAAAAATGTTGAATATAATTTTTTTTAAATTAATTATGAAAAGTACAAAAAAAATCGCAAATATTTGAAAACGATTTGAAGACGGAAGCAATGCAAATAAGCACCTTCATACATACCAAAGTATTATATATAAAAAACAAAAATTCACTTGCATCCATCATATTTTACATGTACTTATATACATATATGCATATGTATGTGTATTTATATGAAACTGTTATAAATGAATACACTAATCACTTATGGGCTAGTTTAAATACTTTAACACGTGTAAAGTCAAGTATTTTATGGCTTAGTAACTGTTAGCCGTGATTATTCGTGCAGGCACCACTATTACGCTACTCATCACATACATATATTTATTTACGTATGTACGTATTCTGTACAGTTTGCAAGAACTTTTCATGCTTACACTTTGGAGGAGTTAAAATTTATGAATGTTGAAAGCAAACAAAAAATTTCAACTCGTCTAATGGTTAATATTAATAAACGTTCTCTCTGTTAATAATTTTTAATTAACAAATTTAAGACAAAACAAAAATTCGGAAAAGAAAAATTAAAAAAAAAAAAAACAATATATATTAAAAAACTATATAATTGAAAATATAATAATATAATTAAAACACAACAAAAATTAAGAAAAAAAATTAAAATAAAAAAATTAAAAACAATAAATATTTAAGAAAATCTAAATAATTTAATAAGTCAATAAATATTTAATAATAAAAAAATGAATATGTATATAAAAGCAAAAAAATATTCATCAAGAAGAAGAAAAAAATTTTATAAATATTTAATTCAAAATTAAATTAATATTTTTGTAAAGGGCAGTATAAAATATGTCTCAATAGGTATATTTACAATTGAGCAAATTTAAGAGAAAATAAATATAAAATGTATTGAAAATTAAATAAAAACAATGATTTAACAAATTTAAAAAAAAAAAACTAAATTCAAAACAAATAAGAAACTAAAGAAAAAAAATGATTAAAAAAGTACAACAAATTCGAAATAAAATTCAAAGCATTTAAAAGAATATAAGAATAAAAAAACAACACATTAAAAAACAAAAAATACAAAAATTTAGAAGAAATACATAATATTAAAAATATACAAAAAATAAAAAAAAACCAAAATGTTAAAAAAACAACAACAATAATATATAAGAATATAAAAAGAGAAAAAAAAATATAAAACTATAAATTTAATACACAAAAACTCCAAAAAAAAAATCAACAAAAGTAACAAATTAAGAAAGTTTTGAAACAATGAACTTATGTATATGAAAGATTAATTCAAATTATTTGCCGGGAAAAAAATTGAATAGATGTAAAACTTCAAAAAGACTACTAAATATAATAATTAGAGGAAATATTGAAAATAAGAAAATTGAATTAATTGAATTAGCGGCACCACCAACCGAGTAGTGACCATTGCGCACTGCCGCTCAGAAGGAGAGGGCTCTAGCCCCGTTGCGGCCAACATACCCAAGTATAGAATATTAATTTTTAATACAAAAAAATTAATTAATAAAAAAATAAATATAATAAAAATAAATAAAAAACTTTAATGAAAAAATAATAATAAAAAATAAACATTAATTAAAAAAAAAGAAAAAAGAAAAACTTTAATTAAATAGCATTAAAAAACTTTAATTAAAAAAAAAACTTTAATTAAAAAAAACTTTAATTAAATAAAATTAAAAAACATTAATTAAAAAAACAAATAAAAACGTTAATTAAAAAAATGAAAATTAAAAAAAAGAGTTTATATATTTATAAAAATCTAAATTTCTTAGAAAATTCGAATTTTAAAAGAAAGTAATAAAAATTTCAAAGAGGTGAATTTAATGTTTGGCGCTTAAAATCGCAAATAAATATATATTTAAAGAGAGTTAACAGACACATTGGAATAGCAACCTTGAACACCCACATTAGACAAAAACATTTCAGCACGTGCTACATGGCAATAAACGCTGCAGAAAGCGCCAAGCATACTAACCTTACATACATACATACAAATGTATATTTGCATATACGCGCGATTGCGTACGACGCCGACCATGTGAGTTTGCACTAATCTTCTGTAGCAGAATCGGCCGCCCACTCAACAGTGATATAATGGTAAAGCGAAAATGTATAAAAAATTTGATAAAAACAAGTGTGATAAGAGCAAATACGAATAAAGTGAACATATAATGAACAATTAAGCAAACGAAGCAAGCAAGTCACCTGCTGACAGTAGAAAAGAAAATATATATACATATATATATTTTACAAAAGATAATATAAGAGGAAAATAACGAGTTGGACTGAGCATCCACCAACAAACCAACAACAAATGAATATTGTCAATGGCTATTCCCGTTTCTTCGTTTTCTTTTCGTTTTGGTACCTCCCATTGGCTTGATTGCATGAATGAACCGCTGAAAACTACCCCTGTTGCTAGCTAGCAAACGAGCAAAGCTGTGCCACAACTGAGTAACTTAAGGACTAAACAGGACTTTATTGCATTGCAAACATGTACAATCAACAGCACGGGAAGTGCCTAACAGCATATGCAGACATTTGTATGCGTTTGTTAGGCAAGACAAAGTTGGCGGCTGCGTCAGCAAAATGCCGGGCATGAATGGTTGCTTAGCTTATGGTTTTGGCGTTTGACAGTTCTTGCAGCACAACAAATATGTACGTCTGAAGTGGCTTTTTTCGTACGCCTCTCATTTTAATTTTTTTTCTTTTCGTTCTGTATCTACTTTTCTTCTTGTTGCTAACAGCGCTGGCGGCACAATTGTTGACGCATTTCAAAGTAAAAAAAAAGGTGAATAAAAGTGCTTTGGCTCTCTGAAAGCACATACAAATGTATATATACACAAATTTTTATAACAAAAACTATTCTATTCCATAAGCAACCCTACATAACACCAGGTGAAGTACAATATATTGCGCTCTGCTGTTATTATTGTAGTGTTTATATGGTAAGCTGTCAGCAAAAATGTGTGTACTCAGCAAAAAAAAAACGGTTTTCTCCAAAGAAAAGAGCAAAAATTCAAATAGCCAAACAAAAATTCACTTAAACTTGCATGCAAGCAAAACAAGCTTGGCTGTCCTCCATCCAACCATCCATTAATGAGCAGCAGCGCTCCACTCGAAATGCATTGTTGATGAATGAGCATGAGAAAAGTATGCGCTCATTGTGAGCATAGTAGCGCGCACATACTGCGCTTGCTTGCTCTATACGAAATATATAAAATAAAAATAAACATGAAAAATGAGAGAGCACGGAAACGGAAGGTGTTGCAGCAGCAATGAGAATGACAGCAACGGCGGCAAAATGTTAAGAATTCCCATAGTCATACATTTATATGCTAAACACATGCACACCACATATGTGTGTGCATATGTCACACTTGCTTTGCTGATGGTACAACACGACGTATGCGTACCCTTGCCGCCTTACCGCCACGACAGCACAGCAAAGGCGGCAAAACCTCAACTATGTTCGTATTTTAACACGTTTCTGATTATATGGCCACGAACAAACGTATATGGCAGATAATTTTTAAGTTTTTTCAAGATCAAACTGCACTAAAAAATATAAATATTTTCAAACCCATAATGAAACACCATAGAGTAACTCTGGGCATAAAAAAATTATTTATAAAGTATAGGGTGTTGCGTTAATCATAGTATTTAGTTTATGTACGGTCGTTTCTAATTATGTGACCACCACTGTATTTATGTACATATGTATGGACGAGTATGTGCCCTTTTAGAGGTAGCTTGGAATTTGTATAACAGTTTTTGTATTGTGCATAGAACACATTTTCGTTTCGTTGAGGAAGCACCGCTGTATGCATTCATTGGCAGGTTATACAGTCAGGTCAGTTGACAGACGGCAGCAGCGAAATAATCAAGCGAATTTTCTTCTTACTGGCGCTTCAGTGTGCCATAACATACACTGGTACAAACCACAAATTGTGATTTTCATTTCGATCAATCACTTATGGATAAAATTTAATAATTTAATAATATTATTTGCGAAAGTTAAACAGTACGTCGGCGGCGACAGCGACATCGAAAACGTTGCAAAAACGCTGAGGCTAATCAAATTTAATAGAACTATAGAAAAAATAGCAAAAATTATAAATATTAATTAAACGTCTTAAAAACAACAAAAAAGACAAAAAAGAAAATTGTATGAATTTAATTGAAATTGTAATACAGCAGTACAGTAGAGTAGCGGCGGCGGCAGCAACTTGAATTGCGACAACGTCAGCGGTGACTGAGTCAACAGTACAGCAAAAACTTTAGCGCAAAACTATTACATATGTAAAACTAACAGCAGTAGGTAACACCAGCAACAGCAACAGAGTGTGGATGTTCTATTGGCTCTGCCCACCAACAGCAGAGCAGATACATTTGGCTCTGACTGTGTACCTGCGGCGACTGCGGCGTCTGTGGGGCGACAATGTTCTTTGTAACAAGCTCGTCGATTTGTTGCTATTGCCGTTGTTGCTTGTTGTCTTTAGACTTTTTTGCTTTTGGCTAAAAACATTTATCGATCACGCGTCAAACGAAACGGAGCACCACTCGGTCGACAAACACACATATATGTAAATGTATATAAAACACGTATTATGGTTGTATAAAAACGAAAAATTAAATATTCATTGTCAAACGGCGAAACGGAAATTTTGCGGTCACTCGTTTAAGAGTATACAAAACGTCAAAGAACGTGGGGGGAAAATCGAAATGAAAATTCTAATATAAAGCAAAATACCACAAAAACAAAACGTCATAAACGCAACATATAATAAGCAAGCAAAATAAAAGCTATTATCGTTAGTAGAGTGAGCCGCAGCAAAAATAGAAAGAATTACAAATTTACGCAATTTCCACATTTTGGGAATAATAAATAATAAACTAAGGTAGCACGCCTGCAAATCAAAACACGTCCACAAATCCTCACTGAAATGAGAAAACACACCGCTACAAAAACAACAGAGCATAACGTCATTGAAACGCATTTAAAAGTGATTTTTCTTTTTAACAACTGAATCCGAATACAATTCACAAAATAAACCAAACGCAAGTCAATTGAAAAATTCTTCGAAGAAAATACACCAGCACTGTGGGCGGTAGAGAGAAAACCGTCGACAAAAACGTGGAAAATATACTAGACAAAACACGTTGAGCACACAAAAGTCAAGGGTAAAATGTTAGCACTTTTTTAAATTTTTTCGATTTATTGGTAAAGAAAATTTTATTGGAAACAGGAAAAAGCAGAAATTGCATTAAAACGCAAATAAAAGGGGGGAAATGAGAAAATAAAGTAGCTGAAACAAAAAAAAAAAACACAAAAATACGCCCCATAAAGTGTTTCAAGTATTTCAATGGCAACAACAAAATCGAAAATACTATAAACACACGATATTATAGCGAGCGCTAAGTTAAGCAGCAGTAAGCAAGCAAGCAGCTCAGCGTTTTAGATATACGAAAAAAAAACAACAAAAAAAACAACAAAAAAAACAAAAACAACAACAAAAAACAAAAGCATAGTCATAGATATTTGTAAAAATAAATGCTAAAAAAAATTACATATAATCAAGTATAAATACAACGTAAAGCAAAATAATAGCAATTGACAGCTGACGGTGCTGCGGAAAATAACAAGAAAATAAGATAAAAATAAAATGAAAATAACAAGAAAATCACATAACAAAAAATGCGCTGAAAAACGTGAAAAGCTGTAAAGAGTAACAAAGAAAATTCTCTTTGCGCACATACATATAAACAAGATAGCTGAGAAAATGGAAAATATATATATATGTAAACATACATATATTTAAAATAACAGCAATATTTAATAATAAAAATTACTACGCAGCTAAAGTGCATTGGTTTACATATGCGAATACATACATTATATATGTATGTAGATATGTTGTTTATAACAACAGACAATTGTAAAATTCAACACAAAAGATGCTGTAAAGAACTTTACGGACAAAAACAATAAACAGGCAAAATATTTACGAAAAATTCTTTAAAGTGAGTGATTTTCCAAAGAAAAACTATACAAGAACTCAAAAATAATTTTAAAACATTTAAAAAATATTAATATTTTTTAACTCAAAACTTATATCAATTTGTAAAAACGCGCAAAAAAATTATTGATATAGATATAGACATAAACTTAGATTAGCACAACAAGATAGCAATTAAAAATAAAAAAATTATTAATAAAAATTATATTGAACAAGCAATTTTAAAAAATTATAATAGAAATTAAAAATAAAAATAAGAGTTTTTTTTAAATAATAAAAAAATTATAAAATATATACCAAATATTTATACAAAAATAAAAAAAATAAATCAAAAATTGTTAACTAAAATATTATTAAAATAAATGTTTGTCTTAAATATAATTAAAAAAATTCAACTGAACTGAAGTGATAAACCTACATAATAAGATTAATTAATAAAAGAATAAAAAAATTAAATAAAAAGCAGAAATATAAAATTAAAAAAAATTAAAATTGAACAAAAAATTAATAAAAAATAAACTTAAAATAAATAGAAAATTAAAAATAAATAAATAAAAACCAAAATAAAGAAATAAAAAAACAAAATAAAGAAATAAAAAACAAAAAAAGGAATAAAATATAATAAAAAATAAAGCCCGTAAATAAATAAGCTAAATGAAATAAAAACTTAAAAAAAAAAAATAAAAACAAATATTTATATTAAAAAATAAAATCCCAAAAGAAATAATACAAAAAATCAAGACAAAAATAAAACTGAAATAAAACAAAAACTTAATAAAAGTAAATAAGAACAGATAATAAATAATTAAATAGAGAGTAAATAAATAAAAAATAAATAAATAATTGGTTTTGTAGTCTTTGTATATACAATAAAAATTATACTAAAATATTAGAAAAAACATCTAAATTTCCTTTAAATATCCCTACTCCAGTAGCAGCCACGCTTTAAACTCCTTTAAAAAAAATTAATAAAATAGTTGGAATAATCAAATAAAACCGCTCAAGTGCAATTTGCAACCAAAACAGCAAAAGCGAATATAGTCAAAGCGTATAAAACAAAAACATCATTGAGAAGTAATAAGACAAAAAATAACACACACACACACACAGCGGCGCATACAAAGGAAAAGAGTGTCATTCCATTCGATAACGAGAACAAACAAAACAACAATTCGCTAAAGAATAACAAGAAATTATCAAAAACAAATAAAAAATTACAATAATATAAATAGGAACAAAAAAGCAGATATAAACCAGAGAAGCTTACGCGCTCACAAAACGAGAGTAACACGAGTGCAGTTTGAAGCAACGAGCAGACATTCTCGACTTTGAAACTGTCATACCTGCGCCAATATTCAACATTCAACTAGGCTACTCACTCAGCCACCCTTGAAGTACCCGTAGAGAGTTCTACCGCGTGTTCCGCCGACGTCGTCGTCGTCGTCGTCGTCGCGTCGTGGTCGTTGTAGTCATCATCAACTCGCTATCGTCTCCGTAATCGTTGTTAGCTAAGAGAATCGAGAATGTAGTTAGTGCTGAGCATTCAAGTGGCCCACCACCCAACAATCTGACAAGAGCAACTCACTCAGCAAAGTAACTAACAACAGCGCGAGTGTACAAACGTGCGGAGTTTAATGTGTGACAGCGAGTCGGTGAAGCGCCAGCAGTCGGCAGTCATCATTACAGCACAGCACAGCGCAGTATGTGAGATAAAGCTTAAACAGTGCCGAAATCCAAAAGGAAGAAATTTAAATTAATATTGAACTTTGCTGAACCGTGACAATTGACCACCAATAATCGTGGTGGTCACAAGTGCTCAAGTTCTCGAGCGCGCATAAGAAGAAAAAATTAAAATCAAAAAAAAAAAAAATTACGCACATTAAAAAAATATTCGAGCACTAGTATATACCGTTCGTGGTAGAGAAAAAGTGAAAGTCAATTTGAAAGGAAAGACAGGAAAAGGGACGAAATAAACGTGTAGAGCAAGAAAAAAAACAAAAAAGCTGTCAAAAAGCCAAAAGCAAAAGTGTTTTGCTCGTGATGTAGTGGTTGGTGAAGAACAACACAAAAGTAAGCAGCAGCAGACAAGAGCACCAAAGCAAGGTAGTCCGTCAGTCACTACTGCTACCAAGTGAAATATAACACCAAAAATACATAACTTTCAAGCAAATAAAATAAAACTAGTATAAAATTGCGTGAAGTTAAAAACATTACAGCAAAAGATTACACACGCTTGTAACCTCTTAATTACTAATATAAAGTAGCATTAAGTAAGATAAAAAAAAACACACACAAATAAAATAAAAGCAAAATGGGTGATACAAATGCGCTGGGCTCCGCTACGCGTCTACGCAAATTCGATCGCACGGACTGTGAAGTTGCCTGCGAAGAAGCCGCCCGCCTAACCGCCGACCTGCAGGAGGGCGCCGTCAGTCCGGATGAAGATGACGACTTGAGCGAATATGGCGAGCTGCCACCACCGCCCGATGGTGGCTATGGTTGGGTCATCTGCTTTGCATCCTTCATGTGCAACATGATTGTGGACGGTATCGCGTATACGTTTGGTATATTCCTTGGTGAATTCGTCGAATATTTTGGTGAGGGCAAGGGTAAAGTGGCCTGGGTCGGCAGTTTATTAAGTGGCGTTTACTTGAGTGCTGGTCCGATAGTGTCCGCGTTGGCGAATAAATTTGGTTGTCGTACGGTATGCATTGCCGGCAGTGTTGTAGGTTGTATTGCTTTTGTATTGAGCACGTTCAGCACGTCCGTGAATATGTTAATGCTGACATATGGTGTGATAGGCGGTTTCGGATTCGGTATGATTTACCTGCCTGCAGTTGTCGCTGTCGGTTATTATTTCGAGACGAAACGTTCGCTGGCAACGGGTATTGCAGTATGTGGCTCCGGGTTTGGTACATTCGCCTTCGCACCACTCGCCACGTATCTGTTACAACAGTATGGCTGGAAGAATGCGTTGCTCATATTTGCTGGCCTCATTTTGAATTGTGCCATTTTTGGCGCTATGATGCGTCCACTCACCTATCCCAAAAAGAAGAAGGTCAAACCGTTGATGCAACGCATGTATGAGGAGAAGCAATTGCAATTGGAACGCGGTTCAATCGTTGGTTCACATTTCATGGTACAGCTGCCGGACGGCACAATGGAACGTAAAATGAAAATGCCCCTCAATGCCGATCCTGGCGTGCACTCTAGTCTCAATTTGGAATTGCTCGCCGAACAGGGCACATTACATCCCGTCTCAACGCTTCCAACTATAACCGAAGCGAAAGTTGCTGAATATCAAAGTGGTGCACAGAGTCCACCAACTGTCGATAGTAATGGTCAATTGGAAGTGAAACGCAGCGGCAGACGTTCACATCGTAATTCCGAAAGCGAGACAAGCCCTTACAATTCCGTCGATGCAATGACACGTAATGCCTCACAGCCCGCCTTTATGGCAGATCATCAAAGTCTTCCAAAGAACGGTTCGGTGCCTTCGTTCAATCGTGTACGCAAAACCTCAGCTAGCGAGCGTTTTCAACCATCACTGGCCGCCATACGCGCATCATCACGCGGCGATCTCGACAGCAATGGCGTTGAAATGGGTTTTACCTCATCGAAAATGTCACTCTCACAAAGTCAGTCCAGTGGCAAAATGGTGCGGCCCATGTCACGTAAGGATATCTTCTATTCCGGCTCTGTGACCAACTTGCCACAATACCAATCCCAGAAATCGCTTACCAATTACCGCAATTCTGTACTTTCTCTAACCAAATATGAGAAGAGTATGCAAAGTGTGCGTGTACTTGATCCGCTAGCTGAAGCTGAAAAGGGACGCGACCAATACGACTTGTGTCCCTGTCTCGCCATACCAGACTCCATAAAATCCGTCTTCAATACCATGTTGGACGTTAGCCTATTGAAAGATCCAGTTTTCATGCTAATCGGCATCTCAAATATCTTTGGCATGGCGGGCTTATATGTTCCATTCGTGTACCTAGTTGATGCGGCTAAAAAAGATGGAATTGAGGAGAATTCAGCATCATTTCTACTATCCATCATCGGCATAACAAACACATTTGGCAGAGTAATATGCGGTTATGTCGCCGATTTTCCAAAGGTCGACTCGCTCTTTCTCAACAACGTCTGCCTGCTCATCTCCACGGTGGCTGTGACATTGACACCGCTTTGTTCTAGCTACAGTGCCTACGTGACCATGTCTATATTCTTTGGTGTCGCCATATCCGGCTACATTTCACTCACGTCAATTATACTCGTCGATTTATTGGGTCTGGACAAGCTCACCAATGCATTCGGTTTGCTCATTTTGTTCAGAGGTTTTGCCGCCATCATTGGTTCACCATTGGCTGGCGCTGTTTATGACGCAACACAAAGCTATGACTTGCCATTCTACATGGCGGGTGGTCTGTTTGCGCTCTCGACTATTACCAGCTTTATGGCGCCATGTCTAAAACGTTGCACGACCACAGATGAGGCACCTATGCAAATTGATACGCTAACACCGATCGATGAAGAGCAAGGCGAAGAGGCGGAGGATGAAGAGGATCAACCGATAACAATTGTGCCGAAAATTATAAAAACACTACCCAGTCCACAGCATGATGAAACAGAGCGGGGATTTACAAGTGAAACCAATAAAATTGGTGCGGAATCAAAATTATAAAGGACATAAGGAGTTAAAGAGTTAAAGAGTATACAACCAAGTACCAGAATTGGTTTGAGAGATGATTTGTTGAAGTTTTTATGAAAGTTAAGGTGTTAATACAGACACCGCCGCGCTATACACGCAAAACGATGTAGGTGAATGCAAGCGGCAACGCTGTCAAGACTACAAAACCAGAGCGATATTTTTTTTTTTTTTTAATAAAAGCAACTAACCAAAATCATATGTGAAACGAAGAAAATAAACAAAGAACTTATTCTCAATATTTAGGCTAATTTTTACTATATGCATATAAACACATACATACACACACATACATGAAAACACACACAAATTTAATATTCTAGCTTTCTAGCTAATTATTGTATTAGTTTTATATTATTATTATATTGTCATAATAATTCTTAAAAAACAAAATAATGAAAATAGCTGAAACTCGCGTTGCAAGCAAAAGGAGCTCACATGAAGCTCCAATTCAAGGCCTACACGCGTTTAAAAAGTTTATAAGAAAAACACATAAGCTAAGCAAAAAATTTACCAAAAAATATCAAACCAAATTATTATGTACTGTACTGTAGTTAAAGTCTGTAATGTGAGGAATATTTTAATGTGAATGCAGAACGAGAAAAGAAAGAAAAAATTAAATGTTAAACAATTATTACTTGTTGTTAAAAAAAAGATAGCAAAAAAAAAAGAACTAACCACAGCATTATTATGTAAATGTGAATTTGTAAAGGCGTAGAGTAGAAGGAGTAGTTTAGAAAAAGCGTGAGGAAAAAAATTTTTTTTTTTTTCAAATCGCAAAATAAGAAATCCTTTTGTAATCGGTTATGTACTTGAAGCTTACATGTGTATTAATGCTAGGCATACACTTTAGTATGTAGAGGAAAAAACAAAACAAAAAAAATTTATTAAATAGGCGTGAATGTGATTGTGGAGCGAAAATAGTAGTATTGTTTACAAATCAACTCAAAAACTTACATACATATACATATATATTTTATATTTATGCGTTAATGTGTAAATACATGCATACAAATGTATGTACATGCATACATATATACTTTCGATTCGATAATACAATAATAAATGATAAACCAAACTGTTAACTCGTTGTGAACGATTTTCAAAATGTGTCGTGTATAAATGAAATACATACATATGTACAACATAATATGTACATATGTACATAAAATAATAATTTAGTTATTAATGCAATTTATATATATATGCATACTTAAATTTCAAATAACGCGCCTTCTTTTTCCTAATTGCAATTTATTTATTTACAACAAAGTGCTCAAAATAGGAAATCAATTTTTTATTATAAACGGCAAAAACAAAAACAGCAATACAAGCACTATACACATACAGTGCGTATTGTCAACTAATTATTATATCGTATTGTTTTTTGTGTAATTTTAAATGAAATTGAAAGAGAATAAATAAAAAAAAACAAGAAAAAATAGAATTAACGAAATAAATACAAATATGAAGCAAGAGCAACAATAAGCACAGCGTTTAAGCTGATACCGTTGAATTCTAGGCATGCCTATACAACAACAATATACATACGCAAAGTATCTACTATTATAATTAATATAAAAACAAAAAAATAATACATTGTATATGTATGCAAAACTAATTAAGTATACATAGAAAAAGAAAAGAAACGAATAGAAAAGCAAATTGAAATTGGAAAATGTACAAAACAAAGTGTAATGAATAAATAAAAGAAAATTTGGGAAAAAAAATTTAACGATATAAAACAAAACTTTTTATTAGTATTATTATTTAGAAAATGAAGGAAAGTAAGAAGATGAAGGAAAAACAAACAATTTAATTTTAAAATTATTTAAATTATGCCATTGTATGAATTAATTATGCAAATGGCTGTCCAAAAGTTTTTAATATCAATCAAAAATTGATTTAGAGAAATTGCCAGTCACCAATAATAGGGGGAAAAATTAAAGCAGCGTATTTTTCGTTTTCGTTTCTGTTTTTGTCACGCTTAGAGCATAGAACGATACTGTGAAATATACAATATACATAAATTGTATAAAATAAATATACAAACAAAAATGAAATGCATGAATTGCCAACAAACAGCAGTGTTTTATTATAACATATTTGGATTAAGAAAATTACTAAGGTGAGTGAGGTACTTGGATCTCCGCGAAATATGTTAATCTACATAATATCCAATGAATTTTTATTTCATTTGATATTTTTTCGTACAACAATTTTTGAAACTGTTTGAAGACAGTCTTAAAGATAACTGTTTCGAACAGAGGACGGCATTACCATGAGGCATTTTAAATATATATAAAGTAAAATCATCTCCACCATATTAAAAATTGATTTCGGATTATAGATGCATTTCGCTTCGAGATACATTAAAGAAATTTATAACTTGATGTTTATGAAATATTTTATAATTAAAATTATCGAAACAATTTCGAAAATATTAGATATGTAAATATATTCGAAAATATTTTTTTTCTTTAAGGCAATTTCAAAAATAGTTTAAAAAAATAAATCGATTTGTATATACGCTAATTGCTATACTGAAAGCTGCTTCTCTTCAATAGCTTCTTTTTTTTAAATAAATAAATAAAAATTGAAAACACATATATCAACTTCGAACATATTTTGAAATCTTTTTTTTTGCGAACTAAAAAGATAGAATAATTAAAAAATGTTATGTATTCTTTGCAATCAATTAAAAAAAATAAATTTTTGAGACAGAAAAACAACTTTAAAAACATCATAGCCATGCGACATTTGAAATGAAAGTGAAATGATTTTCGCCATCAATTAGCACAAGTTTAAAATTGATTTTGAAATGATAAATTAAAAATTTTTAATAATTTATATAATTAATTTCGAAAATATTTATATCAGGCCTTTTTAAGTCGATTTTGGAACTAGTGTAATTAGAAAATTCTTCCTCGTATACTATACTCCTACATATGCATGAGCATACATATTTCACCGTTGGGTTTTAATACATTTTATATAAAAAAAATAAGAATAACTAATATATAAAAATAATAAAATAAAATACATAAAAATAATATATAAATAAAAATAAGAAATAAAACATATTAATTAATAAAAGCATAATAATCAAAAAAAATATATAGTAGCTAAAAATATATGTAATCCATAACAATTTATATCATAAAAAAAATATAATAAATAAAAAATCAAAAAAAAAAATAAAAAATTTAAATAAATAAAAAAAATTAATAAGATAAAAACAAAAAATAATAATAAATAAATGAATAAAAATAATATTAAATTAAATAAAATAAAATAAAATAAATATTATAAAAAATAAAATAAAATAAATAAAAAAAAATAAAACAACTACAACAACAAAAATAAAGTAAAAATAATAAAATACAAAAAAAATTAAAATTAACAAAAAATAAAGATAATAAAAAATTAAAATTATAAAAAATAAATAGATAAATAAAAATAAATAAAAATAAAAATAATAGATTAAAATAATAAAAATAAATTAAAATAATAAAAAGAATTAAAAAATCTCTTAATTTTAAAGAAAAATAAAGTAAGCAGTTTTAAAAAATTAATTCAAGCATTAAATAAAATTAGTTACACTGTCAACTTATTTCAAATATTTTAAAATTTTCATATTTCGAAATTTTAAATATTTTTTGCATTTTAATGCACTAAAAATTGCGTTAAACTATTTTACTAACCCAACAAATTAAATAAACACTTTCAGTTAAAAATGAAATATTTTTAATAATAAATTCTTTTCTAAATTTGGAAGTAAAGCTTCAGTATAAACTTAATTTAACTATGAATTTAAATCACAAAACGCGGAACACCAATCTTTTATAAAAAAAAAATACGTAAATAAAATTGGAACTTCACATTGATTAAAATAAATCATTTACGACAAGCACCGACTTCGATTGATGTTCAAATTTCAAAGTTGCTTTCGAGCAGTTTAATTTTATTTTAATTTTAAGACAATTAAAAATCGAAGCCTGCATGCCTGAACTTAATAATATGTATATAACTTAGTCTTGTATGTATATATATATATGTACTAAATATGTACATATATACGCTACAATGTTTCATTCTTCTATTTTTTCATAAGACTCAAGTGGACGGGTATTTGGTTATCGCAAGTCAATGACTGATGCAATACTATACATATGTACATTATAGACTTTAAAATGAATAAACAATTTATCGTTGCGTACAGTAAAGCACAAATACTCTTTATACATATGTATATAGAGACAAAGTGTTAAACAAAAGAAATTGTGCTAGTGATAACACTTTTTTAAATTTTTATTTTTCAGTATATTGTACTAAGTGAATTGATATCGGAAAATGCTCAAGTATATTTGTACGTCGACACTTCTGACCATTTTAGTTGAGTACAAAAATTAATTGATTTCATATAAACATACTCGTATATGTGTCATATTTTTAAGGCGAAAGAGCGGTTAGACGAAATATTTTGCTATAAAAAAGTTTATAAAGCCTGGCATTTGTTTAAGAACTTTATAATCGACATAATTGAATATTATTTACAAGATTTTATGAACTGCAATATCTTGAGGGAGACTTAGTGGACAATAAAGCGTTTTAATTGTATTTGATAACATACTGAAATATGAGATAACGAAACCGATAGTTGGAAAAGCATGTGTATAGTTAAATATGCCCTTTTGAAAACCGTTTTGGGAGAAAATCAACTCAAAATTCCATTAATTCTGGAGTTTATGTACAAAATATAAGCTGGTTATCCTTCAAAACAAAATTTTTAAGTTTAGCAATGAATAATATTATATTTCACGCAATTTCATGCTTCGTACAGTCCTTAGTCCGAAATTTCCTCATTCGCTATACAAATGTAAGTAAAATAAAAAAAAACAAATACGGTTTGGACTCACCGCTTGTTTGCTGTGCTTTCATTTCCACAACTGTTGTAGTATTATGCATGATGTGCTGGGACTGGTGTTGTGTGTGACTATGATGAATAATTTGTGTTTCGTTGGACAATTGTATTGGACCAGCGGCAATTAAAGCACCAGATGGAACCATTTGTATAGCACCAGGTTGTGTGCCACATTCATTTATCTCATCCTCAAGCTACACATAAGTCATAATGCAATAAAAGATTAATACAATAAATAAAGACTTTTGTTTGTTCCTTTAGTTTACTTACCTGAGTTACTGGTCCCTCCGGATGTAGACCTTGCATTTGCGCCATTTGTGTTTCGTCATAGATATGCATCATGCCCATATGTTGTTGCACCTCATGCATTTGTGGATCATAGATTGCATAATTCGGACTAAGCATACTCGGGGTATCACCAGAACCCATAGAGGAGGCATTGTGATTCATTTCATCACCAGCACCATGCATTTCAGGATTCATACCATATTCGTCGGCATAAATTGGTTGTGCATGCCACATGGGTGCTACCATACCTTCGGCATTTTGGCGTTCATCACATTGACCATCTTCACCGGGCATAAATTGATACTCGGGCGGATTTATAACGGGCGGATATACAAATGGACTGCCCATATAATTATAGACAGGATGTGCATTGTACATTGGCATATGTGAAACATATAAAGGCGTGCCAGTAGCTTGTTGTGCGGCCTGTGCTGGATGCAACATGGGATTTTGGGCAGCAAAGTATGTTTGATATTGATATGCGGCATATGCTGGTGGATGTGCATATTGTGGTTGTGCGACATAACTTGCTGGTCCGCTAGTCATTAATTGCCCAGAGGGATCAATTTGTTGCAGCTGTTGTTGGTGCTGTTGCTGTTGTTGACTCATTTGTTCAGGCGTTTGTACCATTTGCGGCTGTGGTGCTGGACTACCTTCAGGTTGTGGATGTCTTTGATTATTATAGTCGCTCCGACGTGAACCACCACTACCGCCACGACCACGTCCGCGACGTGTGCCACGACTGTTCATATTACCCCCTTGGGCAGTAGGATTACCATTACTACCAGCAGCAACAAGTGCAGCATTGGTCGGTGCTAGAGCTACGGGCATTAGAGGTGCCGCCTGCATGACAGATGGATTCTGAATGTGGAAGAAAATCATAAGGAAGATACTTTTTATTTTTGAGATTTTAGTACAAACCTGATCTGGCGGCACATCTCCCTGTATATAATGTGGTGCTCCACCGGGTATATAAGTCGGTACCGTATGAGCCCAGCCATGTAGATTGACATTAGCGGTTACATTGTTAACGTAGACATTGCTTGGAATTTGCGCAGGCATCATTGTTGCATACATTGGTCCTGTTTGGTGTACGCCAGGCGCAGGGACGAACATGTTTGGCGAATGCATTGCTTGGTTGTAAATGGGGTGCCCAGTTGGAGTGGCAGCAACACCATGTATGGGAGCAGCAGCGGCTGCCGGTACAGGTGTAAATGATTGGGCAGGTGACATGGCATTACTAGTTTGTTGAAGGGGCATATTGTTGTTTGTATTATTGCCATTATTATTATTGGACGCAGGAGTAAATGGCTGTGCGGTAACAGCAAGGTTATTATTTGATAGAGATGTAGTTTGCTGGGATTGATTATTTAGCAAATTTTGATTATCAGCATGGTTGTTATTATTGGGATGCTTAACTATGGTGATGGATTGCGATTCCATTTTTCTTTCAAAATAAGACCTTTCCGTATTTTTATTTTCTGAAGCTTAACGATGTATGTTGCGCGATTAACTGAAATGTAAGCATGAATTGTACTTATTTGTATTTATTTATAAAATTAAATTATAAAGTCACACATCCACAATAAGTTGCATTATATTCTTTTAAAAATACATATAACTAAATAAGGATGTCTTATAAAAAGCAAATTTTTATAAATATGTATCTACTACAATGATAGTGATACTCTGTTAATATGCATCTGTTATATAATGTTGGAGGAAGTAGAAAAAAAATGTAAATTAATAACAAAACTAAAAATCCTCATATTAAATCTTTTTGGAAGCAATATTTAAAATAAAAAGAATTGCATTAGATGTATGTGATTCGTTAATAAATAAATGAAATGAATACCTATACACATGCATACATATGTACAAACAAACACTGTACACATGGAAACTTGTTTTTGCATTTTCCCTAATTGAACAACAACTGACAAATTTATCCTTCATAATCCACCTGATAACCGGCGCATATCTAACCGGTGACAACGCGGCCGGTAAAATTTGTATACCAAGAAATTGTTGAATAATAAAAAGCGAACGATCCAGAAGTTGATGTTTTTTTAATAAATTCAAAGATATGCTGAACTCCAGGCTCATGTAGGTATCTTTGCTTTTAAGAAATGCCTCTAACTAGAGGGAAAACTTTTCACTCTAAATTTTATACTATATAACATAACCTACAAATGATATGAAAAATTGTTGTTTCTTCCTTTTAATTTTTGTTATGTTTCAAATGAAACAATGGTAAATCTATTGAATGAAATTTTGCAAAATAATAAACAACGAATATAACAACATAGACATTACATAGTATCAAAATGTCATATAATAATATGCAGTGGCGTGATGAAATGTTTGCGGCGTGTTTATATGATTTTACCTATATTGTATTTGTGTGCTGTGTGAACATTATGCGAGTCAACACAGCCTGCCTGCATGCCTGCCTGTGTGGCACTTTTGCTAGGCTTATTACCTGGAGGTAGTAACACAATTTTTGCGGTCTTTTCAAAAGTTGTATTTCTATTTAGCGAGATACTTCACATTAATCATAAATTACATACCTTCAGATTTTCATTACATTATCTTTGTTTGCGGAGTAGCAGCTGAGAGCTTCAACACTGCCTTCTAAAGACTTGGCTCTTCGTTAATGTTGAGATGTCTACACAGCCCACCAAGCTTGTGCTAAAGTCCACGTTCACTTGGATTTCCTTAATTTAATATCTCGTTCAAACTCTTGGTACAAAGCTGTAAACTAAGACTTCTTGTCAACCTCGCCACGCTGCTTCCACTGCTCCCAAAAGATGTTTTTATGACTCTAGCACTGATTCTTTTCACTGATACTAGAACGGACACGATTATTTTGCCGTCTTGTAGCGCCAGCCAAACCTGCACTACTTTTTTTTATTTTTTACACACTTTAATTAGCAATATTTTTACTGAATATGAATTCCGGGTCATATAAATAAATTCAAAATCATTCAATTTGTAAATTGAAATATGAACCGTGACTTTATGCTCATCAGTTTAAACAAAATTAATAGTTCACTCTTTTCGTTTAATTTCTGGACTGAAAGTTTCACTCGTGGAAAAAATATTTCTTTTCTTTCTTCCCTTGCTTTACTAAATTCACGTTCTTGCAACTTTGCCTAGTGCGGCGAACGGTTTACATCAAATACGAAGAAGAATGCGAATGCGCGAGTGAGATAAACAGAGTCTTTTGCTTTGAAACTCTATGCGTGCGAAAGGTACTAATGATTGGAAAGCGGTGAAAATGGCGACAGAGGAATGCTCATGGAAAGCAGGGATGCATTGGTGAAAGGTGTGTTTTCCATTATTTTCCACTGAATGTTAGCGCGAAATTTGTCTTGTAGATCAAAAATTTAATTTCGTACACATTTTAATTAATTTGACTGGTTCTAAGCAAAAAACAATTTTTTAGTGTTATCCAGGTGCAATTAAACATGGACGACTTCCAAAAAATAGAAAAGATTGGTGAAGGTACATATGGTGTGGTATATAAAGGACGAAATCGAGTAACTGGCCAAATAGTTGCTATGAAAAAGATTCGTCTTGAGGGCGATGATGAGGGAATACCATCGACAGCAATTAGAGAAATATCGTTATTAAAAGAGCTGAAACATCCTAATATAGTTTGTTTGGAGGACGTATTGATGGAAGAAAATAGATTATATTTGATCTTTGAATTTCTTTCCATGGATTTGAAGAAATATATGGATTCGTTGCCACCAGAGAAGCCTATGGAAACTGAATTGGTGCGAAGTTATTTATATCAAATAACAAATGCAATATTGTTTTGCCACCGTCGCAGAGTCCTTCATCGAGATTTAAAGCCACAAAATTTACTGATTGATAAAAAGGGAGTCATAAAGGTGGCAGACTTTGGTCTTGGCCGATCATTTGGTATACCGATTCGTATTTATACCCATGAAATTGTAACCCTTTGGTACAGAGCCCCAGAGGTTTTACTGGGGTCACAGCGGTATTCTTGTCCTGTGGATGTTTGGTCTATAGGCTGCATATTTGCTGAAATGGCCACAAGGAAACCGCTATTCCAAGGCGATTCTGAAATTGATCAGCTTTTCAGAATTTTTAGAATACTAAAAACGCCAACTGAAGAGACTTGGCCTGGTGTAACTACTCTTCCTGACTATAAGAATACATTCCCCTGTTGGTCAACGAATCAACTTACTAACCAGCTAAAAAATCTCAATGATAGAGGCGTAGATTTAATTCAAAAAATGCTTATATATGATCCTGTTCATCGCATTTCTGCCAAGGATATTCTTGAGCATCCATACTTTGACGGATTCAAGATGAAATTTGTAAACGAATGAGAATAAAAAATAAGAAATTAATTACCTTAAAATTAATATTCATTTTATACTTCTATATAAATTTCGTATACCTTTATATTAAATCAAATGTTTTTTTTCCACATAAATTAAAGACATATGTACAATTATATAAAAATATAAATATGTAACACGAAATTTTCATCATTCCACAAAATATAATAAATAATCCAATAAAATAAATGATAAAATTTAAAAAAAATGTTTTGATATCTTTATATGATTATTATGTTATAATTTGGATTTATTTTTTCGATTGGCAAAAGCAACTAAAGCATTAGTAAACTCCTCCGACAAAAGTCGTTTGTAAAGTTCCTCTGATTCCGCATTCAATGACCTATATATCGTGTCTCGTTCATGCTGACGGATGAGCCTTTTAGACGTTTGCAATGATTCCGGTGGTAATTCGGAAAACTCTCGTAACTTTGGCCAAATATTCGTTTCCAATTCAGCTGGTTCAAAGATTTTCGAAACGAAACTATGATTATAGGCCTCTTGTGCAGTCATTTTTTCTGAAAGTAACAGCATTTCATTCGCTTTACTACGGCCCAATATAAGAGGGAAAGTATAGGAAGAGCATGCCTCAGTTACAAGACCTAATTTTGTAAATGGTGTTAAGAAGTATGCCTGAAATTACACAATACTATAGCGAGTGTAGCAACAAAAATGAATTCTTTACCGTAGATGAGCACCATACTATATCACAAAGTGCTGTTAAAGTAGCTCCGATGCCGATACATGGACCATTAATTAAAGCGATTGTCAGTTTGGTACAATCAATTAATGCGCTTACCATTTCTTTAAAAATTACATTTGACTCCTTAATAAACGTTTCAAGGTCCAAAAAAGCATCGGCGGATTGCGACAAATCATTTCCAGATGTGAAAAAATCACCTTTGCCAGTAATAACAACAGTTGTCACCGAGTTATCTTTATCCACTTCCCGCAACACTAAGCCGAGTTCCTTATATGCTTTCCTGTTTAGACTATTTCTCTTTTTCGGATTATCAAATGTTATCACTAGAATTTTATCCTTTTTCTCAACACGTATCTCACTACAGCTATCATAGAAAACCATGGTGTGGTGAAAGGAAAAGAAATTCTTGAATTGATTCAATTGTTATCAAATGTCTCAATTACAGTTGAAGGAATACTGCACAAAGTCCACGAACTGACGCTAAAGTTATCAAAACAAAGAGTACGCCGATAAATTTGTTTGAAAGAGTAAATGCAATTACAAAAGGTAAACATTTCGATACGTGTGTGCTTTTGTGTATGCATGTAATTTGAAATAATTTTTTATTGGAAAATAATTTTCCAATGTCAGCCTGTTCTGACATTTCTTTTATTGTTTACCTACATAAGGATTTGATATTAATAAACAGTGTAAGAATTCTTGGTGTTGCGATAATAATTTTAGAATGGCAGAATTTTTGGCCGAAAATAATGCTTGTGGTCAAAATTTATTACACATTGTTTCTGTAGGCAATGCAATAATTGCGGAAACACTACGGCTAAAGGACTACATTCCGGACATTTATCGGTAAATAACAAGTGCAATGATGGCAAACCCTGAAGATAAAATATAAATTATTTACATAGATTGGAATCAAAGGCTGATATACAGAAGTATTCAGAAATAATATTGGATTTTAGCTTTTTAAAGATAGCCGAGGCACAAGAACAAAAAATAGAAGAGAATCCGGTAAGTAAGAACAATATTATTTGCCACAAAATGTGTGTAAGGGATACGCCCATACAAAAAATCCATGCCTAGACGATGTAAGTATAGAATTTTATATGTAGTGTCATACACATATGCATAATTAATTATCGACACTAATTTTCGATTTAGTAATCTCTCCTCATATTTTTATGCAGGAGCTACAAGATCTGGATGATGAAGTTCGCGAAAACTATCTTGATCTCTTAACCCGATTTTATTTGGCATTTGAAAGTACTCATCAGTATGCAGTGGATCTTAAGCATTTTATTGATGAACTAAACCGTGGTTACTACATCCAACAGACTCTTGAGTCCGTACTTCAAGATGGCGAAGGAAAACAATTGATGGTAAAATACTAGAAAAGTTAATATGTAAATTTTATTGTGAAGTTTTTCATTTATTTAGTGTGAAGCCTTGTATTTGTTTGGAACAATGTTGTTGCTTCTGGATTATCATATACCAGGCGTTATACGTGAACGCCTCTTAATATCATACTATCGTTATAGTGGTGCAAAAGCACAAGGTGACAGCAACATCGATGATGTGTGCATGTTGTTACGTTCAACAGGTTTCGTTGTTGACACAGCACCAACAAATTTCAACTCGAAGAAAACGACACCGTCGCAATACCCGGTTTCATATTTTTCTCGCTTTATTTTCGATCAAAACTTTATCGATATGGTTATAGGACGTTTACGTTGCGACGACCTTTACAACCAGCTCGCCATTTACCCGCATCCCGAACATCGCTCCACAGCACTTTCCACACAAGCAGCTATGCTTTTTGTATGTCTCTTCTTCACACCACAAACACTACATTCACAAGTGTCGCAAATGCGTGAAATTGTTGACAAATTCTACGCCGATAATTGGGTGGTATCTATATACATGGGTGTAACGGTTAATTTGATTGATGCCTGGGATGAATTTAAGGCAGCAAAAGCTGCTTTGGCGCCAGTTGTAGATACCGCAGTCAAGGGATTATGTTTGTTGCACAAGGAGAAAATGAAAAAGACCTTAAAGCAAACACAGGAAATTCTTCGAGCTGGTGTACTCTCTGATGACTTCGTGCTGCAGAATATAACCAAAATTATACCTTTAATGCGACAATGCAATGTGCTATTACGCTGGTACTTCACGCATACGTCAAAAGCGGTATTAGTTCTATCAAAAAGTATACAAAAAACGCAACAGGTTGAGCAACTTGTCTGCAATGAATTAAATTATAACAAAGAACAATTGTTAGAGCTTTTACTTGACTGTAGTCAATTAGAGTTGGTCGTGAAGGATATATTACGTAATTTAATCAACGCCAAAACAGAACGTTGGACACAATTCAAACGTGAAGCGTTGGACCGTCTAAATGAACTTAGTGAAGCATTTGGTGGATCGCGTCCTCTTTCAAAAATTGAAAATAATTCACAGTTGAAAATGTGGTTTAGCGAAATATCGAAAGAAGTTGAAAAACTCAATGCAGAGAACGCTAATATCTCCGGACGCACATTAATTCAACTAATACAAGCTCTAGAGGAGGTGGAAGAATTTCATAATCTGCAAGCCAACATGCAAGTAAAACAGTATTTGTTAGAGACACGAGAGTTTTTACATCGCATGATACAGGTACAGTAACAGGCATAGAATTCAGTATAAGATGATTAAGCACATTTTGAATATTCCAGATTATTAATGTCAAAGAAGACATACTCATCAACATTCAACTGATAAGCGATCTAAGTTATGCTTGGCGTTTATTGGATCGAGACTTTACAACAATAATGCAAGAGAACATAAAAAAGCAACCAAGACCTGTGATCCGCTTGCGCGCTGCATTCCTCAAGCTAGCAAGTGCTCTCGAGATACCGTTATTACGTATTAATCAAGAACGTAGTGAAGATCTTGTATCCGTCTCCAATTACTACAGCACCGAGTTAGCGAATTATATGCGTAAAGTGCTACAAATCATACCAGAAACTATGTTCAGCATAATGTCCCGCATTATAACTCTTCAAACGGAGGTTTTGCGTGAAATTCCCACACGCTTGGAGAAGGACAAACTGAAGGAGTATGCCCAATTTGATGACCGTTACACAATTGCAAAACTTACTCACAGCATAGCCATTTTCACTGAGGGCATTCTCATGATGAAAAAGACGCTAGTTGGTGTGATTGAGCTAGATCCCAAGCAATTACTTGAAGATGGCATACGCAAGGAACTAGTTCGACATCTCGCAAACGCTTTAAATGTAGGTTTGATTTTCACAACAACGGGCAAAACGAAGCAACCACCGACAGCTGAATTAGAAGCGAAGTTATTGGCATTGGCTAAGATAATGGATGGATACAAGCGTTCTTTTGAGTATATACAGGATTATCTAAAGATACACGGTTTGAAGATTTTACAAGAAGAACTCACGCGCATTATCAACTACAATGTAGAGAAGGAATGTAATGCATTTTTACGCAACAAAATACAAGACTGGCAATCACGTTACCAAAGTCAAACTATACACATACCGAGCTTTACGCCCCTACAGGGAGACAATTCGAAGTCAAATAATTTCATCGGTCGCTTGGCACACGAAATACTCCAGTGTACAGATCCTAAGCAAACAATTTTTCTGGAACTCAAAGCAGCTTGGTATGAGAAGCGTGCGCCACACAAAGAAGTGCTCAATGCCGGCTTTTTCAGTAAAGTACGTGAGGCAATTGGGCCTGCCGGCTTAGTTGGTCTTGATCGTCTTTATTCGTACATGTTTGCAGCTGAGCTGAAGCGGAATCTAGAAAAAATGCAAAAGAATTTGGCCAACGACAATATGTGGCTGGAAGCATTGAATAGTTTAAGTACTGAATTGGAATCGAAACACTTTCCTGGTGGAAATGCGGCAAACCCACTGAAATTCTATTTCGGTTATCACAATCGTTGGTTGAAGGTGTGGCCAACTCTTTTGGAATGGTTGCTACTGTTGGGCCACAAGCAAATTCTTCGACAACAGTTGGCATTCGAGTTGAACCGGAGCAGCAAATGTAATTCGAAAAATTTAGAGTCGGCATTGGAAACTTTTAATAGGTACGCTATGTTCGAGAAAAATCATTTGGTTGTATTAATACAGTTTATGTTAGGGGCTCAAGAGTTGCAGAATTTACCATGCTCATTCCCCCTTACGCAATTCGCACAAATTTGTCCAGATATATTGGAAGGAAGTATTACCCATCGCGTTGAACATGAACTAACAACAATTCGATCCCTTAGGCTGTCGGCTGCTTAAACATTTTGTGGAAAGGGAACGGGTACCTCTCCGATCTTTCCCACATCTTCCATTCAGTGCCTTTGTCTTTTCAAACCGATTTACCCAAAGTATGTATGTAAGTGCAGCACATCTTTGATTTTACCCGACCAATTCATCTAAAACCCCTATCCCTTTGACCCCAGGTCCGTCGAAACTGATTGTTTCCTGAGTTCATATATGCAAGCTGTGCCTGCTGCTAAATGCAGTTAACAAACTGCTACAAAAACAATAACACAATATTTAATTGTCTGTATTTCTTATTTCTATCATTTTAATGTTTTTATTTGAATAATCGAATATCATAAATATCTAATATTCCAGAGCCTTACTCAATGAACTGGAACAACCAGCAATCTATACGAAATTCACCGATTCAGAACGTGGCGGTCAATTGCTATACGAGTTTAATGAATACTTGGCATTCACAGGCTCCTACGAACCACTCGAGCAAGTGTTCCTTACTACCAAAAGTACACATCACGTGGCACTATTTCTCTTCTTGTTTACCATAGCGCACTTGCCACGCCTACAATTTATGTTGAATACAAATAGCTTGTTGGCGAAAAATCCTAAGGATGCCATAGATGGAACACCGCTGCTAGTAGGTATATTAACGGTTTTGCAACAATTCCATAAGGAGGTGAAATTACTGTACTTGACTTATTTGTGTCAATATGCAACTGTGATAGTAGAATCGAACATAAGGTAAGAATATAAAATAAAAAGGTTTTTTTTGTTAAGCGTTGAGAAACATAACCAAAAATTTTCTAGCGCAAAAAATGAAATAAGTGTGGAAGGCACAACGGCCTTGCATTTTATGGAAATATTCATCCGGTTAGCCAAGCTGCCGCGAAGTGTTTTATCCGAGCGTTGTCCTGAGATTATATTAAATCAATTTGAATATTTAGCTATGAGTAGTAAAAATTAAATATTGTATTATATATTTTTATATGAAAAAAAAACACATATTAAGTTGCTTATATAAAACACAAACAGAATATATATTTTACTTATATTTCTTTTTTCGTAACATATGCTATGCAATTAAAAAGCTGGCAGACTTAATTTAGTAATTTAATATACAACAATATCTTAAAAAATTTGGGCAAAAAATAATAATAATAGCTCGTGAGATGAACAAGTTCTCTACTTTTATTTGCTTTCCTTCTCGAATTAGTTTCAATCAAATTTATTGCGTAAAATCCTTATGTAATGACAGTGGGTGCGTTGCGTCCGGTGAATTTTGGCAACTGAGAAATCTCCAAAGCAATGTCAATTAATGGCTTCAACATTTCACTAGCTAGGCCAAGTACATTATCCTTCTCGTAAGAGTCAATGTACAAACTGAAATTGAAAATCATTAATTTTAACATATATGACATTACAAATTGAAGAAATTCATTGACTTACCGTACGGTAGCACCTGAACTGCCGGTACCACTTAATCGAATAACAATACGGCTACCATCCTCAAATACAATGCGCAAGCCTTGCTTTGTAGCAAGTGACTTGTCCACAGGATCAGTATAGCTAAAGTTGTCCGCCACTTTCACCTTATACGTCTTACCACCACTCGTATAACTTTTGCCGATAAATGATGGATCCGTAATATTTTTCTCCATAGTTGCTATCATTTCATTGCAAGGATCCAACTCACATTCCTCATAGTCGTAACGTGTGAAATAATTGCGTCCATAAATGGCCCAATGATCTTTGAGTATATCTTCAATACCCTTACCGGTATGTTGCATAACGGAGAGCCAAGCTAAAACAGCCCAAATGCCATCCTTTTCACGTATATGATTGGAGCCGGTACCGAAACTCTCCTCGCCGCATAAGCACAGACGTCCAGCATCCATCAGATTACCGAAATACTTCCAACCAGTGGGCACTTCAAATACCTCTTTTCCCAACTTTTTACCAACCAAATCAACGGCCGATGCTGTTGGCATACTTCTTGCAAAGCCTTGTATACCATTTTTCTTGAAATATGGTATGCATTCTAAATTATTTGCAATAACAGCCAACGAGTCGCTTGGAGTTACGAAGAAGGCGCGATGGCCAATGATCATGTTGCGATCCTGCAAGGGAAGAGCGATAACATTTTTTGTTTTTTTAAAGAAATATTAAATTCAAAATTAAACAAATTATTGTAATTTTTTTTATTTCACTTGCTACTTACACCGTCACCATCAAAAGCCGCTCCAATATCGTAATCACCCTGCGCAACTGTTTCTACCAAATCCTTTGCGTATGTTAAATTCGGATCGGGATGCAAACCACCAAAATCAGGTAGCGGTATGGTATGCACTACACAATTCTCAGCTGCACCCAAAGCGTTTAGGAAGATTTCACGTACATACGAGCCTGTAACACCGTTCAACGAATCTATACGCATTTTGAGCGGTTTACCAGATGTCTTGCCGCTAACAAAGTCGCGCAGTTTCTCAAAGTCAAATATCTCCTTCATATGTGCGACATAATTGGCCACCGAATCGATGACATCAACAACGAACGGCTTACCATTGATGTCGTATGTGTTGGTACCGATTTTGCTGATGTCGATTTCTAAACCATTGACGATTTTATACTCCTTAATGGCAGTGGACAGTTGATAGATGTTATTTGTTACCGCATCTGGTGCTGGTCCACCATTTTCACAGTTAAACTTAATACCGAAATCGTTTTCGGGGCCGCCGGGATTATGTGATGCAGTCAAAACGATGCCACCTATGAAGAGACAATGTGTAATGTGCACATTAAGTATTAAATGTTTATAATGTATTCGTAAATTTTGAACCACACAAAAAATACAACTGTTATCAGATTTGACTGCAGCTATAGCTGAGTGGGTAGTAAGCAGTGGGTTCAAATTTAGTAAATATGTTTGTAAAATACGTTGCTTTATCACCGCTGACATTCAGAGGTGCCTTTTTTTGTTTGCTCACATCTTTGATAAGAATTAATAAATATTAAATTTCATCTAGAGCTTATAAAATTAACTAGTTATCAAACATTTATATATATGTATGTACTAATGTAACGTAAACAAATGTATGTACATATGTATATAGTCCAAAATTTTTAAGTGTCATGCACTTGAACTAACAATTATATCCGATATATATATGTACACAAATTTATAGATGTATATGTATATGTGAGTACATACATATATATTTATTTTATGTAGATACCATATACGTTAGTTAAGCATATGTAAATTAATATCTTTTGTGTCAAAACTTTACTGTTCACAAAAGTGGTTCTGATTGTGCGTATAAAAATACAATTACTAGGACAAATAAAAATTCACATTATTAAATGCATATAACTTACCCAACGCTTTGTGATTACGAATCAAGCTTGAAACCGCTGGAGTCGAGAGTATGCCATTTTGGCCCACCAATAGTTTAGCAACCTGATAACATTAAATCAATGACATCTTTTAAATTAAGCTTTCACAACAAATAAAACAAGTGAGGTACATACATATAGGCATATAAATATATATATATTCATATCTACGCAAACAAAATAATTGTCCAAAGGCTTACCCCATTCGCTGCACACATACGAATAATAAGTTCGGCTGCTTCCTTACAATAATAACGCCCATCACCACCCACTACAAGGAGAGAACCATTTAAAGCTGCACCATTTGCATCCAAAATACACTGTACGAAGTTTTCAGTATAATTTTGTTGTGTGAAGACTTTTACCTAAATTATATTGAAAGGGGGAAAAAATTAAAAATGTTAATTCCAACACTTGTATATATAGTTGGTATTTCTATAACAAGAAAATGTATACCTTTTTGCGTAATCCGCTAGTGCCTGGCTTTTGGCCTTCATACGGCTTTGTAGAAACTACAGAAATATTCGACATATTTATTTATTATCTGTATAATCTCAAAATAAAATAGAATTAACTCGAAATACGTGTGTTTTTATTATTAGACCACCTATGAACGTCTGTTACACTCGAATACTAAAAACAAACTACCCCAAGCCACACAATTTACTGATAATACACGCATGCAAGGTCATTCAAGGTCGTACGAAAAGCCACTTGCGCTAGCGCAAAAAATTTGTACGTGTCTACAACTTATTTTATAACCGTTGTTATCTATTCCAAAATTGTAGCTATTTTGAGTACAGTTCATTTGTTATTCTAAATTTAAATGTATTTAATTAAATAGCCGGTTTTTATTTACATACACACAAATTCAAATCAGCCGCATATCAAGAAAACTGACAATTGGGAGTATCAAATGTAAACAATTCATTGTGAATTCTGGATTATCGAATAGTAATCGATATCATCTGTGGTTGAAAGGGACATCGATAATAATACCGGGCTCCATTTTACATTTAATTCCTTGTTTGGACCGACATCGAAAACACTTTGAGTTTTGTATTTTCGATGCCATGGACGACGACCATTTTTTACATTTATATTAAAAAAAACTTAAGATACTAGATCGAACAATTTAATTTAGCTACGGAAGAGATTGGTGCTCACACTTAAAACAATTAAAAGAAAAATTATTAAATGATATTCATATGAATTTGAAATTTAATTTGAACAAATACTCCTTGGTACGAGTGTTATGGACAAATAATAAAAAGTTTAGATAATAATATATATAATTGGCTTTTTACCTGAAGTAGCGCAGTTTCTTTCTTGTGTGAGAGTTGTCTGTTCCTTATCCATATGTGCGAGTATATGCATGTAGTTACTCTAAACAATAATAAGTTATAAACAAAATTTATTTTATTCAAAGGTTTGGTAGGAAAAAATAAAACAAAATCCATAACCGTTATCACCAATTGCTCAAGTTGCAATATATTCAAAGTAAAAATGAGGAGGTAATCCTATCTTGCGAGAAAGATCGCAAAATATAATAATCAGTAAACTCTTTCTATGATTTGGGAAGTGGATTGTCATACAGATCGGAATGATTTCTTTAGGTAAAAGATTCGCATGGACAGAAATTCCTTTCTGCAGCTTTGATATTATAATCAGTGAACGTCTACTAATTAATATAGTGATACTGGTTTTCTGATTCCAAAATTTTTCTAAAGCTGCGCTGTCATCCTTCCTATCCGCTATATAGCAGAGTTGGGCAGACTCTCACAGATCAGATTATAAGAAATGTGATCTGCATCAAAAGCAGATAAATTCCATTGTTAACAATATGCATTTTAGCCGTGTCATTTCACTGATCACGAGAGAATCGTATGTCAGACTGCACATATAAGAAATGGGAGAAAGCAATAAGCCGAAGCCAAAAAGTATGCAAAGATTTGTGTACTTCATATAAGAAAAAAGATTTACTGCATGTGTTTTTTTATAAAAAAAAATTAAACTTTTTTCTTACTTCTACAAATCTTCAAGATAGATGACCATCCTCCCATTTATAGGACCATTTTTACGAGACTCTCCCAGAAGTCGAATAAAAGATTGTGATTTTCGATATGTTTTCGTTTAACAAATTTTACATGAATGAAAACACATTTTTAAGGTAATAATATTTCTCCAGGTCCGGACAAATGTTTAAATGACCATTTATGTTTTTGAAGGGAAGTTACTCAAAGTAACGGTACGAGCGCTATCTGCACTCTCATGTAAAGAACATGCCTAGAGACTGAACCACCAGATGGCACAATGAATGACACAGACGAATGGTGACATTTCACACGAAGTTTACACGTCACATAGATCTGTCATTTCTTCATAGCATTTATATCGCTTTTTGGAAAGTTAATTTTTGTCTAGTTGTGGTTGTGGGAGAAATACGTTTTTTTTTACGAGATTTTCACTGAGATTGTATAATAAATAATTAAAGTAAGTTAAATAAATACAAGTTACTTAGTAATTTACTAACAAAAAGTTAATATCTATATAATAATTAACTTATATTCCAATTAGCCGGATGATCATCCACGTCAACAAGAAGTGAAACTATTCCGCATATATTATATCAGTCTTATTTTTTTTATTACTTGCAGAATGTTCAAATCTGTGTTTACATGCTTTATTTTATTGGCTTTATCAAATATCTGCCTTTCTGATGATGAAACCAGCGCCCGCTTACTTATTTCGAAACAAATTCTGAACAAATATTTGGTAGAGAAAAGTGATCTGCTTGTACGCTATACAATCTACAATGTTGGAAATGGTGCCGCCACAAATGTGAAATTGGTTGACAACGGTTTCCCTGCAGAAGCTTTTGAAATTGTTGGTGGTCAACCTACAGCTACCGTTGAACGTATCGCTCCACAAGCCAATTACACGCATGTATTGGTTGTGCGTCCCAAAGCTTATGGATATTTCAATTTTACTGCCGCTGAAATTTCATACAAACCAGTTGAGGAGGCTGAAAAGGTAAGAAACATCAAAGAGGAATAGAATTTTGCTAATTTTCTAATTTTATTCTGTTCATAGTTACAATTGGCTGTAAGTTCCGAACCCGGTGAGGGTGGAATTATTAATCTTGGAGAATTCAACAAACGATTCTCGTCACATTTCTTTGATTGGGTCGCTTTCGCTATTATGGCATTCCCATCATTAGTGATCCCATTGGCACTGTGGCACTCCTCAAAGAGCAAGTATGAACGCTATGGCAAGAACAAAAAGCACTAAACGTAATTTACAATAAACTCTTAAGCGAAATTGCTTATCCATTTTAACAAAGAGTCGCAAACAACGATTCAGTATCAAAATGAACGCAATGTACGCAGTGGAAGTTTAAATCTATTTTAAAGAATTTATTAAAAAAAAATTAAGTTCTTTTTGAATAGCATTGGCGTGAAGTGAAACCGAAACTTAATGCTAAATCGTTTTAGATTTATTTGAAAACTTTAGAAATCTAAGATTTGCAGGCAAAATGCATTAGATGATTTGTCCCTAACATGTTTTCTAATAATAAAAAAATTTAAACAGAAGTCAATCATAAGTCAATTTATTTAAACGAAGTTAATAAAAAATACATAGTGGCTAGCAGTTTTTGCTATTTGTATATTTACCATAAATTACCATATTATATATTGTGCTCCACTTACATTTTATGAATTTTTTTTTTTAGCAAAATAAAAGTTTTACGATACACATAGACTCGATGAATGGATCTTTAAAACAAGAAAGTTAGTGGAGAAATTTGTTGACTTTCTTATGTGCAATGAGTGAACCAGTTAACTAATAGAAGCAGGCTAGTATGTTTAAAATGTAGCTAGTTAATAAGTAAATGCTTATTTATAAATTCATTCAACACACTACCTATGCAATCTTCTTCAACAGATTGTTTGCAATATGCACATAAATATATGTGTAGTCTTATACAGTTCTGACAATCTTTGCTAGAATTGAGCTCATAGCTCATTTCATAATAAAAATTTATTTTCTTGTTTTCAATTAAGTTTTGATCCCTATTCCAGATATTCATCTGTTTCTAATTTTCTTGATCGAACTGTGGAATCGGTATCGAAACGACGCTTTTTGGCAGACGAAGGCCCTTCACCAGCATCAGTGTCACAATCATGCTCAACATTATCTGAATCTTGAGAAGTTACAATAGGGGAAGTTGCTGTAGTGGTAGTGGATTCACTACCAGCTGGATTAATTTGTTTTATATTAGCAGATATTTCGCGATTTTTCGCATCTAAATCCTCCAAACGCTTCTTCAATTCAGTTATTTGTGTGCTCATTGTGGAAATTGTGTTCATGGTCTGCTGTAAACGGCGTGATTGTTGAGCCTGTATCTGCTGCATCCGATTCATCTGGAAATTGTAGATAGCTTGTTAGCAAGTGCTAAGAGAATCCAATTATTAACTTACTCTTTGTACTCCATTTTTATATTCGTTTTCAAGTTTTTTATACTTCTCCATAGAAACTTTTGCTTCCAAGCAACCAAAAGTATGGTGATGTTGCGGTATGTTACTTTGCTTAGTTTCATCGTTTGCGCTCATACTACTACGTCCTCCTGCCGGCTGAACTAAATCCCCTTCCGCTAAACCAGAACTCTCCGAATGAGGGCATTTCGGATGCACTACTGCAGATACACGATTAAGAACACCTTCGCAAGCGAATTCATTGCAATTATTGCATGTCAATTTTAATGAGGAAGCACGATTTGGTGGTGTCCAAATTTTTGGGCCACTACCGGCTTGTGACCACATATTAGAACTTCCTTGTTGAACACTAAAGCTTATGCTACCTAAACCTGAACTGGAAGGTGTTATCCGTTTTCCGTCAATGCCACCGACATGAGATCTTGAGCAACCAGCATCGATAAATGCTTTTAACTGCGTTGCAATTTTCTCATCAAAATGCTCAATTGCCATGGATGAAATATCTCGAAGTTCTTGCAGTACTTCATGTGGTCGAAGGGTTTTACGTGATTTTGACACTAATAACAAAATTCTAAAAATTTCATCCAATACACGCCCAGGTATGAAACAGCAGAGATTTAAATCTATATATTTGGAATATGTCATGGATAGCATAGAGATGCGAGTCTCAATTGATGTTAGAATATCAGCATGACGCGCCAAACTGTGATTACTGATGAATAAAAAAATTTATATATAATACATACAACATATTTATATAAGGGTCGAATTTAAATTTATAAACTTACCGCCTCTCCGATTCCCTCCGAGGTAGCATCGATTTGATTCGTTTAAAAATTGTTGTATGTTGACGAACGGCACGACTGAAGCCTCCATTTAATACTTGTTGACAAACTAAATTTATCCTTCTGCATACCTACAACAAAGTATGACATGAAAGACGCCGTTAGAAGACAGGCCACGAGATTTGCACGTATGAAAAAACTGCACAAAACTTACCAATCTATTTTTTGATACCTCCTCATAGGTAAGATACTCATATATTACCATAAGCATACAGTCTGGTAATTCTATTAAATTCATCTTAATAATTCTTTCTATTTAAAAGCAGAAGAATATAAAATTTTAACGATTTTTTACCACTTTGATTTTTGCTGGTCTAGAAGGTTTTATGCGAAATAAAAAATAGCGGTCAGAATGAAAAAGTAGCGGATGGAATAAAGATGAAATCAAAACAACAAAGTTGCAGAAAAAGCACAATAAGTCTAAGTTTACATGAGGATACTTTTGTCGCTTATTATCATAATTTTCTCTTTTGTGTCGCCCTTCACAGAGAACGTAAATACAACGAGAAGGTTCAATTGCGGACCAGCGTGTAAACTGTCAAAAGCTGCCAAGTTACGATGGGTGCATTTCACCACAGGCCGCCAGAAACTAACAGAGTTTGCTATTGATGCATAACATTACTGAGCGTAGCAAAATTAAATATGCTCAGAAATGTACTGATCTGTCTGCAACTAACATTGTTTATGTTAGCTTCAGATAACGAATAATAATATTCTCAAATTATTAATATATTTTTTGAAATAGGGGTAAAAGCACAAATTTTAATAATGTATTTTAGATCTTTCTCAAACTTCTGTAATAGTAAATTATAGTAAAGGTTTTTCCTTATAAAGGGATGATTTGCCGTCGGCAGCGTATTTAATAAGGAGGATTATTTGAAATGAATTTTAATTTAATTGTAATTTTAACATATATATTGGCGAGGCCTCGCTGGTGACTATATTGACGTAGTTGTCGATGTTGTAAAGGGTGCATCACGCGAAACCACGAAAAACACTCTTAGTAGATGGAACGTCTTACGGATTATATCAATGCGCCCAGCATAATCCTGATGAAGAGGCATTTATGCATTATTTACGAGTCTGGAGAAATCCAATGTGGACGGTGTCAAATTCGTTGCACAATCCCATTTCAGAGGATTATCTCCGAGATCTCGAAATAACTATCAACGGAAAAAAAATTACGTACGTTTTCACTAGGCATATGTAGAATATTATGGAAGGGCTTGTATGAAAAGAAGACTTCACCTATCCAGCAATTAGCATTTAAATCGAGCTGCAAAATATCGAAGCCGAAAGCAAAAACAGCTGCGCCGTGGTGGAACGCATACTTAACATCACTAAGAGGAGGTGTAAGTAGAAACTTCAATAAAGCAAAAAGAAGTGATTGCTGGGAGAAATACAAAAGTAATCTCACCAACTATAATAAAGAACTAAGGGAAAGAACTAAGAAAAGATCGAACTTTATAAGCTTCTGCGAGTGTATATCCTCTATACCAGAAGCTTCCAGATTGCACAAAGCATAAGCTAAAGCTGCAGTAGAAAATAAAATCGCACTAAAGCTAGAAGATAATCAGTACATCAAGAATGAAGAGGAATGTGCGATGGCCCTTCTTAGGACTCACTTTAATAATCACAACAACTAATCTAAGGATCACGACTCCACACTCCGCACAGCGGAGGCAGGGCTGAACATTACCTAAAATAAAAAAGCAATAACGTCTAGAAGGAAAAAATCAAACCTAAAACTCATAAGATTAAACAATGTAGTAATAGAGCCCACAGGCAACGGAACTATATGTATACCGTTATAGTAAAACCAACCATAACAAGGAAAAATCATATCAGCCAAGAAATTTGCAGAGATAAAAGAAAGGATGCCTTTAGCAAATTTCAATATACAAGATGATAAGTTTCAATACCAAGGTCCAAATATTCCTAGGGGAAAAAAGAACATAGAACCAAACTCAGGTACAAGGAGTAATGAAACCGCAATCCCTTGTGTGGTACACAGATGGCAGGTATTTGCCACTTCTCATTCTCCAAAAGAAAATGGTTAACCAACATATAGTAATTTGCAGCGATAGTCAAGCCGCGTTGAAAGCAATATCATCATGTATAATTAAATCATACAATATATGGTATGGGAATGTGTTAAGAACCTTAATAGAGTAAGCGAAAGAAACAAATTTCAGCTCATTTGAGTTCAGGGACACACAGGTATTGAAGGAAACGATATAGCAGATAGACTCGCAAAAGAAGCTGCCTCAATCTCTCCTACTGGAGCAGAGCCATTATTTCGCTTGGGTTTCCACTCAATTAAAGAAGAGAGGAAATGAGTATAAGAAACAGCTATTGGTATTGCAGTCGAAGGAGCACCACAATAAATCGATCAGCCCCTCTAGCCTAGAAATAATGTGAAGAAATCGGAGGGTATAATAGACTACTGATCACGTTGCATATCCTCTTTAACGATCTGTCTATCTATCCAGCAATATGTAAATACACACAGGTCGATTACACACATTTTTGGGATCAAATAGTGGACGTTGGTTTTTAGGATCACTATCGGCGACTTGAGTGGAACATACTAATTATATAACAAGACATTAAACAAAAAAAAAAAAATAGCAAAGTGTACAAAACGCAATATTGTAAAAAAGCATTGGCTTTATTTCATAATAATAAATAATATTTCTTATAAACTTATTTCTTTTTTTTCACCATTGAAGTATTCCACTAATAAAGCATTACATTCTGAAATTTCGCTTCCATTGTGAAATTTGCTTTGAAAATTAGTTTCGCGTCCACTTCCTTTACCTTCTAAAAGTTCTAAAAATATCGGTCCAAACTTCTGCACATCGCCCTTATCTCCTCTTAGTACCATCAGGGCTTTACCGTTATTGGTGTACCTTCGGAAACAGTTAGGAAGTAGAAAATATCCTCTGGCGCATTTCGTAAGAATGTATTTATGAAATGTGGTTCAAAGCCATACTTCCTGTGGAGGCAATAATACTTTGGATAGGGCCGAGATTTTTTTTCCAATGGAAACATCCTTGAGTAATTTTTTGGAATGTCTTCGCAGATGATTTTAAATTGGATTGAAGTTTTTGTAACGATCCCTTCTCCTACTACTACTTCGACTGCATCTAAACATGTTGAAATAGTCGCCGCCCCGAAGCGTTTACTTCCCTCAGCACCTCCATCGGCCTTAACCACAGCTAGAAAAGAGCTAGTTGTGGTTCCGAAAAGGAAGTCCATATTTGTATCGCGGTTTGCAAAAGATACAATTGCGGATAAGCACGTCATCCTATATATCAGGTAAATTAAATACAGTCAGTTTGGATATTGGGAAGTTCAATATTTCCTATGAAAGATCTATAGCTTCTTTTAAAATAGACGTTTCCGCTGATTGCTTCGACATACTTTTGAACTCATCATTTTAGCCGTATAGTGCTTTTGTTCGAGAGTTTGAACTAAAGCAAAGAAAGATTAGTAACAATCTTGCTCAGTTACCTGTAGCCTGCTCTGCGCCAAAAAAAACTGTTAACAGATATTAACTTGAATACTTACTGTTAAAACGTAAGAGGTTTGCACACTAAGACAAAAAGTATTGTTACGATTTTACTAAATCAACCTCGATTATTTTCCGAATCCTTCGGGTACGATCTCTGGATTGTTAAATAAAACTCGCCAACTCAATTTGCAGTTTCTTTCGTTATAAAGAATTAATCTAATGTCCTTTATTTTCTCAGTAATTCACAATTCAATTATACTACACTTTACTATTTATAATCACTAACATCAACTTTCACAATTTACTCTACTTAAATGTAATCCCAACACGTTTACTTTACGACTTTACTGATGTTAACGCCAACGAGTTTACTTTATCACTAACTTGACTTGCAGCTGAGTGTCGCCTTTATATAGCAGTCGGCTGCTCGCAGACGAAAGCGTAGAAGCATCGAATTGTTCGCTATGGAAGGTTCTTGTTTTATCGTTTCTAGAACGTACTAGTTATCGGCTTCTCTCTTTCATCTGACATTCGCCTCGCATTTTCGCAACAGTATTCTCGTGTGAGCTTGGATTAAGAGAATAAAAATAAATCGCTAGATGTGGCATGCTCAAAATAATAGGCCAAAAACAAATGAGAAACGGCAAAGTCCATGATTCAATAATTAAGTCATGATTATGGTCTTTTATTGATTGAGTGTTCATCATTAAAGAAAACGTTATTGTACACAATCTATGGTCAGTTTTTATTTGTTGAGCAATTTTTTTTTGTTTACGTGAGTAAATTTTCAAATTTCCCGTAAAGAATTTAAACCGTCTGGCAGCATTCAAATATGAAGAAAGTGACAACCTAGCAAATTGTGACGTTCCGACTTTTACCATTATTCACATTAAATATTTGTGAAATTTATTTATTTATGCAAAATTTATTCGGAAGTTAACATATTAAAATGGTTTTTGCGAAAAATTGGGAAGATTTTGAAATTGCAGCTGAGTCCATGTACATGGCGAATCCACAGAACTGCCGATACACAATGAAATACGTCCATTCAAAAGGCCACATAGTATTGAAAATGACTGACAACGTGAAGGTATACCCACATCCCATTTTTACTTCTTATCTGTGTAAAAATTTCATATTTTTAGTGCATTCAATATAAAGCGGAAAATATGCCTGATTTGAAGAAAATCGAAAAGCTGTCTGGGAACTTAATGGGCCATATGGCATCCAAGGAGTAACAATGTTGAGAGCCAAATAAAACAAAGTACGGGGGGATAAGTGGAGACAGAGTAGATTAAGTTTAAATGACATTGTATTAATGTTAGCTTTGTAACCACTTAGTGAGTGGAGCGAAAGGCGATTAATAACGCCACAGTCGAAAATAGCTTTTTCGAAAACATTTCCATGAAATGATTTTAATTTATTGTTAACTGAAGAGATAATGGAAGATAATAAATTCGTTCTTTTTTGTAATCAAAAGTATTGTTCATGTATTAATCACTCAGACCTTTGGAGAGAAACGAATTCTTGCCAATCATATAAAAAATAAATTTATAAGGCTGCAACTACCCAACGAGCGTACCAGCCGTCCATAGTAACCTATCTTATGAGAGCGCCATGTAAACACAAAGTTGTCACCGATTTACCATAGCGTTGCTGACGTTTGTGTCGCAGAAACCAACGAAGTTTTGATTTTTCCGTAAAACCGGCAGCCTATGGCTGCAACTACCCAACTCACTCTCCAGCCGTCCATAACTGACGACGTTAGTAGTGAAATACATACACGAGCTATCGACGCCGCTGAGAGCGGCGAAATGTTGCCAGCTGCCTGTGTGTTTGCACACTTTTGAACAAATTCATAATTTTCGTCAACGAATTTCATAATTTATTTGCTTTAACATAAACACAAGGCAAATATACATGATCTATATAGTAACAAATAATTAGTTACGCATTTATTTTTCGCTTCTTTTGAACAAAACTACGCATTATCTTCGATTATTTAATGTTACTTTAAGAAAGGCCATACTGGCAACCTTGTATAGCAACGAAGAATGAGCCGAGCCGGTTTTACGGAAAAATCAAAACTTCGTTGGTTTCTGCGACACAAACGTCAGCAACGCTATGGTAAATCGGTGACAACTTTGTGTTTACATGGCGCTCTCATAAGATAGGTTACTATGGACGGCTGGTACGCTCGTTGGGTAGTTGCAGCCTGAGTTGGGTAGTTGCAGCCTAAAGCATATAGTTTCTATAAAAGACAAGGATATATAACATAATATACTTTCAGTATATTAGTCTGATTCTTACAATTAACAATAAAACCAACATCAAAAAAATTTTGAATATGTTCGATGGTTATTAGTGTAGGGCCGAACTGTTTGACATTTCTCCAACCTCACAAAGAACATTACAGTTCTGCTGCGTTTTAAAACCAAACTTTAAAAATTTAGAAATAAAATTCAGGAATTACAGGTTTCTATCTCTCTTGTTTATTGCCATATACTAAATCGTCAACCCATATAACTTCTCTCATGCAACACTGTTTGGCGAACTGTCATATAAATAGAAATAAGGAAGAATGTCAGATACAGAAACCAATTAGAAAAATTTTCAGGCTGACGAATTGTATCAGACGAATTGGTGGAAAATATAAATCGGAATCGGAATCGGCAAAATGCAAATATTTGCAATATTAAATATATTTTATTCTAATTATTAATAACGGCGGCATTAAAATGTAAAAAGTGAAGCACATAGTGATATAATATTTATAAGTGTAATAAATCTAGTCAAATATGCAATGACAATCAGATAAAAAAGGAAAGGGAAGGCGTAGAATTACGCTGCCCAAATTCATTCATTAATAAAAAGCAAAGTTTTGCAAAAAAAAAGATGAAATATATATGTTATGCGTAATGAAAGCAGTGCTAAGTGTTAACTAAACTTAATTAATTTATATTTCTCAAGTTGAAATACCAAAATTTATACTTTAAAAACAAGGCAAAATCAATTTGTACTGAAACTGTGAGGTGTGGAAAATCGAGGTTGTGGGTGGTGGGTTACAGACGAACTATCTGGGCAGGACATCGTCGTTGCGGTTAAAGAAGACATTGAGAATCAGGTTGAAACCACTTTCCCACGCCCACATAACGCACATATTTCCGTAATAGTGGCACGTCATCGTACTCCTAATAGTTTACATTCGTTAAAAAAAAGTCTAGAATACATATGCAAAAAGTAAAAGTTGATAAATAAAGGCAACCAGCTAACTGTGCCGCGTTGAACGACTTAATTAAATACAAATAAACTAAAGTCACAATGGACGACGACACAATGCTCAATAACCATGGCCCTCAGCCTGGCGCTGAGACGGTTTATGGGACTGAGGACAACAATATGGTTATGTCGGAGAAGGTGCGTAAGAGAAAAAGTATTTATTTTAATTACGCCATAAAATGCGTCTTTAGCGTGTAAAATTATACAAAAGCCTAAAATGTGTTCTTTAAAAACGCCACGTTACAAGTATGAATTTTATAAAATTACCAACAATACAATTGTTAATATGTATGTAGTCAGTGAATAAAAAAAAACATATGCACACTATAACTGCATACATAAAATATGCCTAAATGCAATATATACATATATAAGTAGATAAAACTCTATTGTTATAAATACATCTTAATAGACATATTTTGCCTTTAAATAATATCTATTCTGGTTGCCATAATTTTATGTGTTAATATTTAATTAACTATCAGTGGATTATTATGCTTACGTGTTACAATAACAAATTAAACTGATTACAAGATATTTTAAAATCCTTTCTTAGTAGCCATCTTTGATAAATATGTAATATTCTATCATAGTTTTTCCGATGAAAAATTAATGACAAAATTAATATTTTATCTATGGGCTTATCAATACTTCGCGTTCTAAATTTGATTTGTTTCTCTGCAATACCATGAATTCAATTTGTTTTGAAAGTCATTATCTTCAAATTCGTTTCAATAACAATTTTTCCGTGTTTTTGAATGAATACTGATTAATAAATATGCATATATGTAGCAATGTAACTGAATAAACAAATCACAGCAAGAAAATATACTCAATAATTTTCAAGTTAAATGCCTATTATATATACAGTGATAAACTAAAGTATTGGCACAGAAAAAACATGGCACAGCAAGATAGTTCAACTTTAACACTTTTCTTACTTTTTATGAACATTTTTCATTCCGAAAACAACTGCTAGGCAGAGAAACGCATTTTCAACTATTTTCACTTCACTTCATTTAATTATCTTTTATGTTAAATTAAATGAAAAGAAAGTATTAATTTTCACCAAACAAAATTATTGGCATACTTCATAAAATTACAAAAAAAAAATATAGATAATAAATTATATGCACTTATAATAAAAATATTAACGAAATTAATATTTTATAGCCAAGCCTTTATGTTTGATGACAGCTTACAATTTTTGTGTGGTTTCTATCCCATTATTCTGCCATTCCTCCATCATCTTTCTTTTGTTGATACCGTGCACTTTTTAACGTGCCTATCCAGCTCTTCCAACAAATGTTCAATTGTTAAAGCCTTGGGAATGTCTGTACGTGCCCTGTTGAAAGACGAAACCCCCTCAAATCGTTTCACAATCCTTCTTATGGTGTAGCGGCTTCTGTGCATCATTTCACCAATTTCTGCACATGATTTGCCCTGTTTATGCATTTTCCTCTGAGATTCGTTAGTTTCACTTTTTTTGCCACTTATTTTTCTGTAAATTACGCAAAGTCCACTATAATTAAAGACTGGAATGATGTTTTAGATTTGATTAAAAAAAAAAACGCAATTGTTTATGTAGACATAACGGGACTTTAGATCAATCAAATTTAAGCGAAATAGGCCAGTGAAATTTAAGTGTGCCCACACTTTCGATTGGCGAAAATTAGTACCCATTTCATTTATAATTAGTATTAATTTAACATAAAAGATAATGAAATGAATTGAAGTGAAAATGGTTGAGAATTTTTCCCTCTGTCTAGCAGTTTTTTTTTCGGAAGTAAAATATTTTCATAAGTGGTCAAAATAGGTGTTCAAGGGTAACTTTCTTGCTGTGCCAATACTTCAGTTCATCACTGTATATACCGATGTGTGCGAAATATTCTTATATTGTATTTAGAAAAATTTGCATGGATTTACGTACATATGTATATATGTATATGTGTTTTATTAATATACAAATCGTGTTTAGGTAGTATATATTTTATGTACATATTCATATACATAGGAACTTGCCTTAGTTATATACCTACATATGTGTTTATGCATGTTTGTAATTTGGTCATTGACATTAGCTATGAAATACTTTTTACTGTAATTCCTTTTGGCAAGTCATGATACAATCGATAAAACGTACATAAAATAAGTCATTCTGGGAAGTTTTTTTTAATGTTAGATTTTCTTGACGAGTGTACATATATGTATGCACGTGCATACATGTGTAAATACACAGATTATTAACTTGGTATTTTTTTTTTCAATTAGTATGTTAAAAATTTTATTTAGTTTTACTTCGCGCTACATAAATACAAATTTATGTGCATAGTATTTATTTTTATAAGTTCGTTAGTCAGACGTGCTTAAGCATTTTATCGATTTCGATTTACATCAATCGTTAACATATTTTACCGTTCATACCCTACTTTGTTCAATCCGTTCTGCATATACGTATGTAAATATATATGCTATGCCCAATCACATTCGCACATGCATATGTGTGTATGTATTTACATATTTAAGTACGAGCAAAAATAATCGATTAATTTATTTAATGAATGAAGACTAAAGTTGCATACATACATAATTATATGTATTAAAATAAAGGTAGATTTTTTAAGAGCTATGGGAAAAAAAAAATTCAGAATAATGCATGAAATCTTTATTTGAATCGATATTACGGTCATGCAAATGTTGTCCGAGACTGCGGCGCTAATGGTCCATCCGCTTAGTCCTATTTTGGCATACTCTTTCCAACATTTCGGCCGGTATCTCACGAAGAAGAACTGCTTCAATGTTGCCCTCTAATGCGTCAATGAATGTCTGTAGAGACACTAGACTTAACATAGCCCCACAAAAAATATTGTAAAAATATTAAATCGCAAGATCTGTTTCGGTATAAAGACCCGACTGTCGCAGGAACTATTGGATTTTAGTCGCCTCTTACGACAGGAATGCCTTACCGCGGGTAATTTCTTTAACCCCTAACCCGCAGGGGTGTCCCATAAGTCCATGCTGTTGTTGTTGTACCCGCAAAATTATTCCCCGAAGTACTTTTTTGGGAATTTATCCTTGGCCGGATAAAAATCCGGGTCGTTCCGGTATAAAGACCCGACTGTCGCGGGAACTATTGTATTTTAGTCGCCTCTTACGACCGCAGGCATGCCTTACCGCGAGTAAATTCTTGAGCCCCTAACCCGCAAAAAAACAGTTTGATATCATTTCACTGTAGCGCTCACCATACACAGTTACGTTACGATTCGCATTACCTTTGAAGAAGTACGGTCCAATGATGCTACCAGCCCATAAAGCGCACCAATCTGCGACTTTTTCTGGAAACATTGGTAGTTTTTGTAATGCTTCTGGCTGATCTTCACTCCAAAATCGACAATTCTGCTTATTTATGCACCTATCAAGCCAAAAATGAGCTTCGTTGCTTCTTAACTTTCTATAGACTAAACTGAAGATGTTTGACAGTGATAGAAAATACGAAACGTGCGTCAGCTGTTTAAACCAGTGTTGCCATAAAGATAATAGCTAAAAAATCACCCTTTATAAAACTAATGTTTTCTGGCTCTTAATTTGCTACCTCTGCCTAACATACTATCAAATATGGTTAGAGTCAAAGAAAAATTAAGATTCTAAAAAGAAGAACGCCGCGTCCCATTTTAGTTCTCTTTTCTTACTCTTCTCACGTTTTCGACCGCCGACTTAACTTATTGTCAACCTGTCGACTTTACTTAAAGCAAAGCTAAGTTGGCAAAATGTATACGAATTTTCATTATTCAATTTGATTATTGTCGTAAAGCTCAGGTTGTTGTTTTACGCTGGCATATTTGCCTTAGAGAAGTGGATTGTCACTTAAGTTGACGCTTGATGAACGTGTTGGCGGTGATTATTATATACTTACATATATATATATATGTATGTACATATCCATTTACATATATATGTACATATAATTACATATACAAACATTTGAAAATACTTAACTACCTTGCAGGAAGTCAACCAGACAAAAATTATACATTTTCGATAATAACTTTTTAATTGTAATAAAAGCTAAGTAGCGACTAATTGGTTATGATATGTTGAACAAGTAAGAAAGTGCTTAATAATCGAATATTAGATCTCAGACTTGGTCCCGTTCTGATGGGGGAAAAGGCAAAATGCCACTTTGACGAGATTCCCGACGTGATTACGACTTCATGTGAGGTAAACGGTCATGGCAAAAACGTTATATATCAAAAAGCCGCCTGGTTATGACCACATAACACCACATATGCTAACAGAGCTAACCAATTTCTTGTATCAACGTTTTATTATTATCTTTGGTCTTGGATATTTTCCGAATACGTAGGAAAAGTAGCCAGACCCGGAAAAGGTGCAACCCGTTGTTGTCCGTTCTTTCCAAACTTTTTGAAAAGCGAACAGTTTAAATTAAAGGAATTTATCTCAGAGAAGTGTCTAATCATGGCTGGTGTTCCACAAGGCAGCGTTTTGGGACCAATACTGTATGTCCTATTTTCTGTAGATATTCCGATGTCCACAAAAGTAACTAACTTCAACATCCGCAGACAATAACGCTATTTTATGTCGAAGCAATTAAAAATACAAAATTACTTAAAACTCGTTGGAAGATGGCTGTCAAACATCTGAAGACTCTGAACACAGAAAAATGCAAAATACTGAAGCTAAACAACGTAATGGTCCCTCAAGCTGGCGAAGTTAAATACCCCGGCACCCACCTAGATAGGAAGAGCCATATTTATGCTAAAATACAGCACCTCAAACTTAAAACCGCCAGTCTGTATGAAATACAATTATAGGGCTCTGCCTCATACCACAGAGACCTTGAAATACCAATGGTAGACACAGTAGTGACAAATACTCCAAATTCTCTAGCGAAGGATTTATCCTGCCCAGCAGGTCGAACTCGCCTTCGAAGAAGGAATCTGCCAGTATTATGAAGAGCAACGTTTTACCGGACGTCCATTGCTATTAATAGATACGGTCCTCATTCCCCCATTCATTTCAGAGCCACCTTTAAAGATATATAAAGCTTTGTCCGCTAAAAAAGCTTCTAATTCACGAAAGCGAGACAATTTTATTCATTCGTACTTTTATGGCCAATG